TTAATCTGGTGGACATATCAAGGAGTAATGAACGAAGTTTATCATCGTCAAAGTGTTATAAGTTAAGGATAAATAAAACATATCAAAATATTATCACGTACATGTAGATGGTAAGGGGTAGTAATGAAAGAGAACTAAACATGAATGCTTACAGATGCATGCTAACGAGGAACTAGATCAAAGAGAGCATCATCTAACATGTATACATGTTAAGGAGCAATGAAATATGATGAAACATTACCTTCTAAGTGACATTATGAGCAAGGAACTAAGACCAAACAACATTCTGTGTGATATATATGAAGAAGTAATGAATTATAAGTAAACATGTTAAGAATAAGCAACTATATCTAAACATCAAGTGCTGCGTATAAGGAAAAGGTCAATGAATCACAACCACACGATATTCTAAGAAGAAATTAACTATGTCTGAACATTATCTCCTATATAAATGTTAAAGAGTAAAAACTAGAACCAAACCTTAACAAGAATGTGTACATAGCAAGGAATAATTAACCAAGACTAGGCATTATCTTCCATGGGTACATGTTAATGAATAAGGAACTAGAATCAAACATCAACAGTTATGTGTGCATGTCAAGGTACAGTCAACTAAGAATAAACATTATCTTGCATGTGTACATAGTAAGGAGTAATGAACTATATCAAAACATTTGTCTACATGTTACGGAGTAAGGACTAGAACTAAAGATTAACATGGATGCGTACACAGCAAGGAATAATTAATCAAGACTAAGCATCACTTCCAAGTGTACAAGTGAAGACGTAATGAACAAGAACTAATTATTATCATCTAGGTGTATATGTTAAAGAATAAGAAACTAGAATCTAATATTAACCTTACAAATACTGGATCCTAAAATTTGTTGGACCTGGCATCTTTATCATATTTTGTTCCAAAATTAAACTATTGGTTGAAATTGTTTGAAATTTGACAAGAACGTTCCTAAAAGTATGTAGTTTCAGAAAAATAAAATATTCAATTCTGATTTTTTCTACTATTTCTAATAAAATTTGTTATTTAATGTAGTTATTTGCAGTTGAACCATGATTAGTTCACCTGCAAAGTGATTTTTATATGAAGTATAAAAATACTATTTATTACCTTACAGTTTTCACATTTAATTGGCATAATTTCTAGAACCTGCTAAATGAATATCAATAGTTTTTTTAAGGTAAATGTTTATATTTTAATTTTCAACTATTCTAGCTATTATCATCAACATACAGTGCAATGAAATATTTAAAATTAAGAAATGGAAATATGTACTTACCTTTTACCTCTTCACTGAATAATCTTAAAATATCTTCTTTGGAGCATGTGCGTAATTTCACGTTTTTACCTTTTCACTTAGTTTATTTTTAATGTTTTATTTTACTTTTCAATTCCTTATCTTTAATTATTTATGTCAAAACATCAACTGGTGCCTGTGGTCCATATAACATTATGATCAACAAAGATACTTTAGCCTCTGGCAAAATGTTTGCACTCACCTATTTTTATAACAAGCGAAGCGACGAGTAGACAAACTTAAATAATCATTAAGCCTCTCAAATATGAATTTTAAAACACAAATAATAAACATAAAAGTAAAAACTAAATGCAATTTAACTGTCTATCAAACTAATATGTATAAAGCGAGAAAAAATAGTCAAGCACAAGAAACACTGATCTCAACAATGGACTTAGCAGCAGTTTGTTTGTCATTTCAAAAATAATCTATTGCCTAAGTTTCCTTCCAGTCTGGAGAAATTAAATGAGAAAGCTGCTCTTTCTATTGGTTACAAGTGTGCCATTCAAGTGGCATCTACCAGAAAGGAAAAAAACAACAACAAACAACTCTTTCTTGGAATGTTAGCCACAGTAAAATGAAATTAAAGTTTAGACTTTGACCACGTACAAGAAGAAGCTCACCTGGACCGTCCTAGAGGTACTCAGGTAAAACTGAACAGAAACATAAGCAACCACATCTATGACATTTCAATTGCACATGCATCACATGATACAAAACTGAAGTTTTAATTCTTTGTTTCAGAGGTTTCTTTTGAAATAAAGGAATAATAACTTGGATAGTATAAAACTTTGAATTATAATGTATTTGATAATAGTAATTTATTAAAATACACTGACAGTAAATTGGTTTAATTAAATTTTGAATGTAACTTGGTAACACTTTTTGATGTGCAGAAAGGTATTTAAAAAGTGTAGCAGTTGACAGAGGGTTAATAATTATGCATACATGGCAAGGTATAACTATCGCTTTGGGTATCCTTTACTGCACATTACACATGGTTTTAGTGTCTTACATTCAAAATTTTATTAAACTACTTTTTTTTTATATTACACCAATTAGAATAGCATAAAATCTTAGTTAATAATCCATATTTTAAAAGTATATAAGTTTTAAGTTCTTAATTCTACAAGGCAATGTTTTAAAAAATCCTGAATTTCCACTAATGTGACCCACGTGACACATTTTCTCTTAGCATGTCATCATCCCTATTTTATTCACCACCCCTTCAAAAGTATGAAATTAAAAGTAAATTACCCTGTATGAAATCCTTATTGCTCAGACAAAACATAATTTTTATAGTCTTCAATTTTGTTTTGTTTCAGAGCTATCGAATAGAAAATCAGACCCCTCCTGCCACAACCACCTGTCACATCCTCTCTATCACAATTCGTTGATAGTTCTCTCTTACATTTCATTATATATTACCTATAACCAATAGAAAGGTTTTCATCTATCAAATGACGTATTGTATAATATTATGTTCTGAATGGTTAAATGTCAATTTCATTCAGAGTTCGAACATCATTCCCATGAGAAAGTTAACGACTAGCTTGGATGAATTTGTAATGGCTCTTGTCACATAGTTAGAAAACCAGGATAATTTGGAGAGGTAAGTGAATTTGTCTACTTTTTGCATGTTATTAGTCTATAATCTTTAGTGTATTATTTAATTAAATAATAATTAAGTGCATTACTATCTATAGTATTAAAAATTAGGGTTAACTCTCATCGAAAACCCAACATCAAGAAAAAAAGAAGATTTGTTAAGTACTTTATTTCTTGTTTTTCATATTTATTCTATATTTATTATTACAAAAGTAACTAAAATCTAAAAATATGGATCTTTGTAATAATAATAATAATTAAAATGGTTCACGAGGCATACCTGCAAGCAGCTTGTGGTTAATGTAATTCGATAACATAACTTGAACTGCACATTCCCAAAGTGATTCATAACTTATAATGGTGCGGATAGTAGTTATACACATTTCAAAGGGCAATCAAACAATAACATTAAATTATAAATAGATGTATACATTTACGAACTTAGAACTACTTAGGATAAATGATTGCAGCTTCATTTTACAATTTAGAAAGAAAAAAAAGGGTAATTTAGGTTTATTTCAATTTTTTTATGGTGGTTACGAGGTCGGTCAAATTGACCGATACCGTTTTGAGATAGGGTAGAGAAAATAACAGATAAACTATAAAGTTTTACTGAAAAAAAAACAAAAACTTTGAAATGCAAACACAAAGGATTACACAAAGCAAATTTGAGATTTTTGATATGAGGAAAAGTATTTTTTATTTTAACATGAAAATTATTTTGCATACAGACTATTCAAAACAAATACTCAATATATTCATTGACAAATCTATTTTATTAAGAATACTTCACTAAAAATATGATTTTTTGTATGTGAAAGACCTGTAATGTTAACTAAAAGACTGCCAAATTTTTTAAAGACATACACACACTATATTGAGAGTTATGAGTATTGAATCTATAAAGACTTTAAACAAGTACAAAAAAGGTTACGTGATTGGTCAAATTGACCAAGCCCATATTGAGAGAGATAATCAATTAAGACTAAGCATTATCTACCATGAGTACATGAGGAAGTAATGAATGAGATGTAATCATTACCTTATGTTTAGACATATGAAGGAGTAATAAATCAGAACGAAATATTAACAACTATGTGTAAGATTAAAAAGAGCAACTAACTGTAAATAAACATTAACATGTATGTTTACATGGTAAGGAATAAGTAAATATGATCAATCATCAATGTTTATATGTAAAAGACAGATGAACTATAAAACTAAACATAACATCCTAAGTGGTATAAGTTAAAAAGTAATGATGATTAAATATTATAGTATAAGCACTACAAGTTAAGGAGTAACACATTATTTGAACAGTAGTTCTAAACAACATATCAATTGAAACCCAAAGAAAATGTCAGGTGTGGCACTAATGGGGAGAGGAAAAAAAACAACAGGTAGCAAATATATCTAAGGTTGGAAAAATTGAGCGACATTTGGTAGGTAGAGCAATATTGGGTGGAAAAGTCACTCCATTACTTCCTTCTCAACTTGAGCTTCAAAATCTGCAAAGGGAAATGCATGACAGGGACAGAAGAAGAGGGTCCAGGCAGCAACATGGACCCTACCACACATTGGTCAATATTATGTTACCTTTCGCAATGCATGATGATTGTCACGATCTCAAGGCAAAGCACTATCAAAATTGTTGGTAACTGTGAATGATATTTGTACTCACATCAACACAAGAAAATTTATGTTAATCTGTGAATTCATATATAACTGTTGAAAATAGGAAGTAAAGTTGTTGAAGTATTTATAAACACACCTTAGCATGGCTATGTCAAGGAAAAAAATGAGAATTATGCACGTGAATGTTGAGAGAGAGCATTTGTGCAGGGGGGTATGTCACACTCCTATTGGTATAGGATTTTGCTCCATGATAAGTAATTACATAGAAGCAGAAATTCAGGTGTTTTCATGTGAATTTTAGGTGAGAGTTTCACCAGGTTGATGGCATGCAAATCTACCTGTAAGTCAGAATAGTGCAGATTCAAAAGAAAAATAGTTGATTTGTGCACTTAGGCAAGTCTTCATATCGGAAAATTAATTCATATAGTATCTTTATTCACTTACCTTCTGAAGATCATCTAACTCTCCAGTTACTCCCTCCTCTTCTTCTAGGAGTTCTTCTTCGTCTAAAGTCTTTTCATCATCAAAGTCATCCACAAGCATTTCAGCAGTTGGATCAAAATCCTGATCACTTTCTGTTCCTATATAAAGCATAATGTACTACATCATGTCTGATTTAAATTCATAATTTACTGCCTACTTCAATTTATTACATATTTATCTATATGTTAAAGGACAATTAATATAGCGTATTTTTCGGAATATAAGATGCACCGGTGTATGAGACGTACCGGTGTATAAGATGCACCGGTGTATAAGACACACCCTTATTTTGAAGACAAAGTTTTGGGGAAA